ATTCCTGCCTCGGAGCGATGGTTGGGCAGGGCACACGCACGGGGCGAGGGGAGCAAAGCACCACTTGCTCCGGTAACAGACCGTTCGTGGGTACCTGGATGATGCATTAGCGCTCTTTTCCTGTAAGCCTTCTTGATCTCGTCTTCAGAGGCATTTTTGTCCACCCCCAGGATTTTATAGTAGTCTTTCCTTTTGCTCTTTTTCAGCTCCACCTGTGCGTTCTTTAGAAGTTGCTTGTGTTCTAGAGAGAAGCGCAACGCCAAAGGAAAGCGGCTTTAGCGTCAGGCCCAGCCTCCTGCTTTAGAAGGGGACCAAGGCCAACGCGTTGAGGTGACACGGGTTGAAGGACTCAAGTGCCACAAGCAACCCACCCGCTTGGATCTGCGGCCAGGAGCCAAGTAAAGCCTCCCTGCCCACTCCAGGCTGCTCCCAGCTGCAGGGCAACGGCTCAGCGCCACTGAACCAGAGCCACACACTGACCCAAAGGCCTAAGGTTACAACGGCCCTTTCATTTCAGGCCACTAAAAAAGCAGGATGACGGCTCAGGAGAACCACCACCAGACACTCCAAACCTAGGGCACTGCTTCAGCTACAAGCTGTATCATCTTCTGAGCGTTCAGCGCTGTGAGAGAAAGTAGATTCCGAGACAGGCATTTCAGAGCAGTTCTGAGGACTTCTCCAGCATCGTCCTGCCGGGGCAGGAGGTTACAAACCAGAGCATATCGCGGGGGGAAAAAGGCAAACCAACGCAACCACAAAAAAACTTGCCAGTTAAGGCAAACTTAGGCACACAAAAAGCAGGCCAGTATGCTCACCTTTCGTTTTTTCTGTCTGATAAACCTTTTCGTAGTCTCTAACAGCATCTTCGTATTGTTCTGTGTCCATGTAACTGCGGAAAGAGACACCGGTGTATTTCACAGGAAACATCAAAAGGGGGTGCAGGTACAAGCTTTCCGGACGGGTACAAATTAAGGGGAAGATGTGCACGGGACGGCAGAAAGGGCGGTTATCAGGGGAACCCACAAAGGGTCACTGCCAGACCGACTGGTAGCCCAGACACCCGATATTTGTGGGAAATCCTGGCACAGGAACCTGTGCTTCGGGCTCCAAGCAGAGACTGCAATCCCATCTGGCAGCACAAGTTCTGCTTTAACGATCTGGTAATTACTTTATCCAGCCGCAGGAACTAACACCAGCCAGCAAGACTTCAAGGAAGCTGGTGCAGAGCTGTACACCAGCAACACGGGTTGGAAGCGACGATCTTGGCACCTCGGAGGGACGTGTGCCCGTCTGTCAACGTTCCAGCCTTACTCACGTCTTAACTACTTACTGTAATTTAGTAATTACCGAGATGGAGCTTGAGAAGAACCCTGAAGGTTGTAAATTAAAATGAATGCACACAGGAAGGCTGCAACAGCAGTTTTGGTTCCTCCAGAAGCCAGGCAGCTTTGCCACAAACTGGGGAATAACCAGTACTGAAGAAAGTAGCAAGCAAATCCGTAGTCAGAAGAGAGCTGACTACTGCCCTGGTTGCTGCCCCGTTACAAAGGGGACCCACAGACTCGCACGTCCTTCGCACAACGCTCAGCCTCGCCGAGCTCCCCCCGCGGCTGCGGGACGCGCAGTCCCCGCCTGGACGCAGGGATCCCGCCCCAAAGTGCCGGGGGCTGGCAGCCTGCACCGCTCTGCCGGGGTAAGGCTCTCGCCCACCGCAGCCCTCCCGAAACAGCTTAAGAGAGAGGCTCTCTGGGACGGAAGGTCTCACGTTAGTCCACGGACACGAGCCAAGCTTTAGACCAAATCCTGCCTGAACAGAACCAACAGGCAGTCCCAGACCCGCAGGCAGGACAGACTACACAGAGCTTCCCCCGTCTCCTCGTCAGCACAAGGAAGAGGAATAAATTCAGGGCCCTGTGAGACAGAGCTTTTCATTCAGTTAAGCTTCAGGTTTGGTCCCCCTGTCCCTCAGTGCTGCCGGGAGGAGGTTCCTCCCCACAAACCTGCTCACAATGTCCATTACGAAGGTCTACTCACCACTGTGCTCTCCTCAGGTAGGCTTTGATATACGTGTCATCCAGTTTTACCGCATTCGTGCAGTCATCTATTGCTTCTTCAAGTTTCCTAAGCTACAAGGTCAGACAGGAGTTAAGTCAATCCCAATCAGAGAACACATTCTGGTAAGTATCATTATGATTTTAGGCAAACGAAAGGTGTAAAGAATCTTGGAAGAATCTCACTCTTGTCTGTGTCTGCATCTAGAAAAAATTTTCCCATCCCCCAAAACCACAGAGTTTTGTTCATTGCTCCCTCGGGAAAACAGAAGCTTGGCTACTGGAGCGGTAGAACTATGTGGTGCTTCTCTTTAAGAAGTGCACTCGGAAACAAGGATCTTCCTGAGAGTGATCTGAAAACCAAGTTATCCTGTGTCCAGGCTAACTCCCAGACACGAAAAGAAACTTTCAAATATTTAAATGGATTTTTTTAAAAAAGCATTGTTTGTTTTCAGACACAAACAGCCACATAAAATATCCATTACTGTTGTCTCCAGCTCATCCCACCTCCCAGGTTTTGAGAACAGCCTCTGTCTCTTGAGGAAGGGGGGGATGTTGAGAAGCCCGGAGGCCGGCAGGGCAGGCATCGACACACAGAGACAGCGGAGGAGGACACATGCCCAGGGGAAATGCAGGGTGGAAACTGGAGGCACTATCCCAGGACTGACTGCTGCTCTGCATGGCGCATGACCAAAATGCACCAGTGAACCTGGAAAACGTGTCCTGGGTTCTAAAATCAGACCATAATTTTTTCTAGATCAAAACCCAAAGCAGGATGGATGATCTACAAGAAAAGTAAGGAAAAAAAAATAATCTCCTCGTGACCAGGAAGGAAACAAATAAGGATGCCTTTACGCTGATTAAGGTAAGACTAAACTACATTCCTCTTCTCCCTCCCACTCTGGGCAGCCCAAGTATCTGAGTTTCGTTCCTTCAGGAGTTGGCTTCATCGGCTCTTTGGAACAGATCCAGTCATTGTGCAAGTACAAAACCTGAAACACCGCCTGCAGCACCGGGCAGATCCCGCTGCCCCAGCAGCCAGAGGAGCCTGTGCCTTCCCACATAACTGATTTGCAGGTTGTAAACGAGGTGGTGAGGCCCGTGATGACACACTGCCCGCCAGGTGACCAGCCTTACCTTTGAATTAACCGTCCCCCGGTTGCAGTAGAGTTTGGCATTTGTTTTTATGTTATTTGGATCTATTCCTAGTGCCTCTGTGTATAGTTCATATGCTAGTTTGTAGTTTCCTTCTTTGAACGCTTTATTCCCATCTTCCTTCTTTGCTTTAAGTGCTTTGGCATTCTGAAAGAAAACAAACCCTGGATAAGAACATTAGGTGATCGGTTCAGGAGTACCAAGCACCTTATTTTGCTGGGGAGGGGCCTCAATCCTAACTGTTCCAACTTGGTTTCAGACACCGTGACAGGATACAAAAGTGACAGCCTGGCCACAGCAGCTGAAGCGAGCTGGAAGCGTTCTGCCTTTCCCCCAAGAGAAGCGCTAAGGAACAGCCAGTGCCAGTCACAGGCGTTCTCCACGGGAACAAGGGTTGCCTGACATTTAAGATGAGAACATGACAGCGAAGCAAATGCATGTATTTAAAAAAAAAAACAACACAGGAATGGGATTTTACTTTTTGAGAGCTTATACAAGTAAACGGATTTTAAAAGTCAGTCAAAGAACTACAACAGAGTAGAAGTGAGGGAAGGAGAAACACGAAGGAACAGCGTTTAGTTGAAATGCGAGTCAACCTGCAGGCACGAACACTGAATCTGGACGTCAGAAGTTTTTAGGACTGACAGTTTTATTGCTCCTATCTCTGACCATGGAAAAAGAAGAATGAACGGGAGGCAGTCTTCAAAGTATCAGAGTCTTCTGAGAAAGAGCTTCCAGCAGCTCCGTTTTACCCACAGCAGCAGCTGGTTGTCTTTGGGAAGGGCTTGACACACTGCTTGCTGCTGGAGACCCGGGGCATGGTAACTGAGGGAGGGAGAAAGGATCCATCCAGCAGAACCAAGTCGGGTGTTTGGTTAAAAAAATAAAAAAATCCTGGTAATTTTGCAGCCTCACCCCCCGTATCCACAACTTACACGGCAGGCAAGACACGCTTTCTCGTGATCAGGAGCCATTCTGAGGGCCTGGACAAAGAACTGCACTGCCTTCTCGATACAGTCCTCGTAATAAAGGCAGAGACCACGGACGTACAGCGCATCTGCATTTGTTGAGTCCATCCGTAAGATGTCACTGTAATAGACACATTAAAAAAATGAAATGTTTCCCCGTTCCGGTTTCCTTCTGATCTCCAAAAGCACTCTTCCTCCGCCGAGACATTCGGTTGTTTGATCAACTCCGCAGCACGGATGTGCCCAACGTACAGGAACCTGCTCCAGCACAACTGCTGGTTATCAACCGAGTCTAAACAGTTTCTGGGCAAGATTAACTTTAAAGGGGAGAACTTCAGGCACTCTTCCTCATCACAATTTGCATCAAGGAGCTGTTTCTTTTTTATATTCCCTCATTCATTCCGGGCTGCGGAAAACAAGCGGCAGCCGGGACACAGCACCAGTTGTTGCTCAAACTCCAGACCTGGAGACGCTCACCTTGCTACAGACTGTGCTTCCGGGTAGCGGCCCAGCAGCGCTAAACACTCAGCCTTGAGGATTTTGAATCGGTGACAAGCAGGAGCAAACTCCAAAGCACGATCCATGCAAAACACAACCTGGTGTGAGAAAAAACCAACAACGTGAGCAAAGCAAAGAGCCAAAGGCCTCGGCTGAAAGGCCGCACCGTTACCACACCCGAGACCTCACACTCCTCTTCGAGCAGGAAGGCAAGCGGGCAGCCACCTGCTCTGCTGCTGCTGGAGACGCACGTCTCCTTACAAACTTCCCCTCACGTGCAGGTTCTTTGCTTTGCCTTTTAAAGGGCTCTGTGAGCAAAGGTCCGTGGCACCTGCCGTGTCACTAGGACGCAGCACTGCCCAGAAGATTCAAGGGACACCTGTAGAAGGTTCCGTCCCTTTAACTCTTGGGAAACTGCAGGCCCTAAAGAAAAAGCCAAGGAAGACAATTCTGCCCGTTTCCTGCACTATGAAGACATGTGGGAAGGGCAGAAATTCAACAGATCTGAGACGGTTTGGACTGGACAAACCACAAGAAAGTACAGTGCAGGGACTGATCTTACACTTGGCCTGACCGCAACGGGCAGGGTGATCTAATGGGTCTTTTCCATCTCTGCCTTTCTGGTGGGGACATCTGCACGAGAACAGGGTCATTGTTCCACCAAGGTTCATCTGCTTCCCCGGCCCGTGACATCACGAGCGCCTGCTGTGGGAAGCACTGTGCTTCAGACCGAGAAGACAACGGCTTCTGGGCGAGGAAGGAGCAAGAGCAGCTCTCCAGAAACAAAGGTCACGTTTCATGCAAGCCTCCCCAGCGAAGTGAGACGGGAGAAGTGAAGGGACAGATGCAAAAGCCCCGAACATGCAACACAGGCAGGGCAACTCCTACACGTGAAATCCAGATTGACCGTACACCCCACTGCTCCTCGTAACCAGGTGACACAAAGCTGGGATTTACCCTTCCAAAACCTTGAGCTTAGCCTAAGAGTCAGTGACCTGAACAACGAGCTTAATGTGCTGGACAACCTCCTTTCTGGGCCAAACTTGGGCCTTACATGCACCCACTGAACTGAAACAGCTGCAGGAGAAGCGCTGGGTGCCTTTCAGATTTCATGCTGTCCTTTCTTGTCGTATCAGGCCAGTACCAGCTGCATCCTGTTACAGCCCTTGGGAAGAAAGATTTGGAAACAGTAATGGAGAACGCCCCATGCAGATCGGCACTCCTCCTTCCATGACCCTCAGCAGAACACTGGCAGACAGACCGCCTTTTTTCCTTGTCTTTAATTAAAGGATATTCGCCCTGAGCCAGTCACCCTCTTCACTTTTCATTCGTCCAGTGCTAAGAGAGCTGGAGCTCTGCCGTTGTCACAGCTATCCCCCAGTTCCAGGACAGCCCCGCTTCAATGGCCAAGTGCTGTACAGCACCTCCCATCAGGGCCCCGCTAACGCTACGCAGGGAAGTCGGACGTGGGTCTGGCTGAACCGGCCGGGTGAAGCACGTCCGTTCATAAAGCTACAGGAAAGGGTTCATCTCACCTTCCTGAAATCCCGTTTCTCAAAATCCACTTCGGCTATTTTTTCGTACTCGAGCACAGTGCTGGCGTTCTTCAGCTGGAAGACAGGAGAACACAGGCAGTGCCGCAGGACAGTCACTGCCCTGAAGCACCACCGAGCAGCATCTGAGCAGCCAGTCACCGAGGTGTCAGAGCAAAGACGATTGCAGACCACGGAACAATAACGGGGATCACATGAACGCTTTTGTCAGCGTCACAGTCAGTCAGAAATCAGGTGACCGAAGCGGTAGCCCAGGAAAACGTACCCCCGCGAATGAGATACAGAGGTGGCAGCAGCCTTCCGCACACGGCATCGCCCCTTTCCCCGCTCCCTTGCCACATTCACCGGTTCTCCTCTGGCGTGCTGGGTGAAAGGCCAGCTCAGCCTCCCTGCTCTCCCGCCGAGGCGAGACAACCACCCACCGCAGTAACCCTGTAACCTGGCGGTCTGCTGAAACACAGACCTGGGGACTTCGACAGCACCTCGCTTCTTCCCGTCACCCCAGAGCGTGCAAACCGTCATTATTAACGACGACCGCCATTCCACCTCGCAGCTGCGAAGCGAAAGGCTTACCGGTCCAACCCGTTCCCTTTGACAGCCCCATCTACTGGGACATTTAAATTTTGAGAACTTCGTACCTCTTGCTGTGCCTGGGTGTTCTTATGATCCAGTTCTAAAACTCGTTGAAAGCAGCGGCTGGCAGCCATGGCATTCCCTAGGGGAAGATGGCACTTCCCTTCCCGTAGATGGCCCTGAGGAGAGAGGTAGAAGGGGGTCGCAAGAGCTGCTGTAGGTGGACACAGAGGCACCGAGCCATGAATAAGAAGTATGAAGCTTCTCACGTACCCTCACAAAGCTGTCATCCAGTCTGACAGACTGCTGAGCATCTCCCAGCGCTTCTCGGAATCTCCCCAACATCATGAGTGTGGCAGCTCTGTTGCCGTAATAACTGGCATTATTGGGACAGGTATCTGGAGAAGATGCAAGAGCACTCGCTGTCGGTGTAACACAAGCAGCTGCACAACTTGTAGAACATATCAAAAAGCCACGGCTGGGTTAAAAACTCACACTCCCTCCTGATTTGTAGCGTCACCTGAGCAGCTTAAGGCCACACATGATGGTCAAGCAGCTGTTTTGACTAGCGAGGTGTAAAACTGCTGCTTCCCACGCTACACAGAGGAGTAAAATCATATAGGACACAAGTCTGTGGTGTTCAGCCTGGCAGCACTGCTGACCCTGCATTAGAGGGAAAGCTGGATGGGTTTCGTGTGATGACTATCTTGGCTGGAGGAGAAATAAAGAACTGCTGCCATCACCCACGCTGGCACTGACTTGCATTACCAATCTGGTGAGATTTCACAAGGCAATTAAAGCAGGCGAAGAGTTTTCCTCCAGCGTGTGGTGTTAGAAACCCTGCTGGTATATTTTAAATCAATAACCAGCACTGATTTTTAGACATGGTATTCAGCAAAGAGTAATATTATCATAAACAGTTCTCACCTATGGCTTTTGTGTAATAGTTGTACGCTTCATTGTAATCTTTCTTGGCATAGTATGCGTTTCCTTGTTCCTTGAACGATTCTGCTTCTCTGAAAGGAAGCAAAACACCACATTTTCAGAGGAATCGAGCACCAGAACAGATTCTACCACGACCGAGCACTCGATCTCCAAGCAACCTTAGTGCAACTCTTCAGGGCTCCAAAACACTTGCCGCTGTTTGCTGTGAGGTCTCCTCTGTACACACGGCCCAGGAGAAAGCCGGGCCCCTCGTGTCCTGCTGGCTCTCAGATACCTCATCACTTCACCAGGGCCACCAACAGGGATACTCAGGGCTGTCACCCAGCCGAGTACTACAGGAATGCAACAGCAGACTAAAGCCACCCTGAGTGCCCTCCCTTCAGTCTCCGGTGCTCTGGCTTCTTCGAGCCCAGCAAAACCCCGCTGTACGCGGTTACCGAACCAGCCTGCTCCTGCGAGGTGCTGCATAACTCAGCAGCCACTGAAGTCAAGAAACAGAGTGCTGGCTATCTTTCAGCGGCAGTCCCACGTACTTAAGCAAGAGGGCCAAGAACAATTCCTACATTCAAAAGACAGCTAAACCGAAGAGAAATAAGGGTGCAAGCCTCAAGTAGAAGCTTGGCACTGCCTTGGCAACAGGTCCAGAAATAGTCCTCACGCTCGAGAGCAAGCATTTGCACAGACACTTTAGGACATCTAAAAACACACAACATATGGTTTAAAGCAGCATCCCTTAAACTCTCGAAAGCAAAGTTTCCCTTGAAGGAAATGAAATCCTTCTCTCTCCTCCATCTACCTTCACCATTTTAGATAAGCAGACAGAGAGGGAACTTGTGCCGTGGTGTTGAAGTTTAATTCAGCCTCACAGAATTAAATTCAGTAATTTAGTTCACTTGCTTCCCCTCTCAGACTGTTCAACATGTAACAACAATGAGGTCAACTCAAGAGAAGCATCACCCCACTCTAAGATGCGGCAGTCAAGACTCACATCGTGCTTTTGGGACTTCACTGCTGTAGCCAGAGACAGACACGGTTTGTTCACTCTCCAGAGCACTTGCACAACCAGAACTCTGGCCCCAGACAAAGACAAATTCTAAGCATCAGAACAAAGACCAGCTCAGACTCCATCCTTCATGCCCCACCAGGGACACGGCCAGCATATCGACGAGCCCCAGCGACTCTCTCCTTCAGCCACCAGCCATCTTCTGCTAGAGCAGCCCGGCCACGGGGATCACCTGCCCAGGGGCAATGACCGTATCGCAAGCGGTGCAATCGGCTACCGCAGGTCACCGAACTCCTCTGGGACGGCTACCGGCTGACCTGAGCAGAGCCTTTGCTGAAGCAACGCAGCAGAAGCCGTGGAAGCTAAAACAGCTGGGTGACCCCCCAGCCTGCCAGAGCAGAGGGGCACTTGCAGAGGCTCAAACACGGGTCACTCCCAGGCTGTGCCCAACTGCTGGGCTTCAGCATTCCCTTGAAAGAAGGGCCCAGAAGTGAAGGTGTCTTTTCGCACCACTTGCTGCGGGAAAGCCCAAGGTAAATAAATAAAACCAAGCCAAATCCAAGATCACTGGACTGGAGAGCAAACAGTCACAGGACTTTCTGCCCTGCCTACAAATACCTCCATCCAGCTCCAGAGCAGGCACAGCTCAACAGTTCAACAGCTCTCGGGGCTGAGGAGCTTTATGTCTGTGTCTGGCCTGAGTCAGAGCCAGTCTTCAGTCTACCAGGTACTACAAACACAGAGATAATCTTTACCCGTAAAAATTTAGGCTCATCTATCGCAGAAAGTGCAATGCAAGTGACCCACTTCTTTATTTCTGTGCACCATTACAAAATTCTCAAAAATTAGGTGCAGCTTTGGGCATGGTACAGGGCTGGGTTTGTCCCAGAGAATGCAAAGACTTTTGTCTTTCACGAATCACACTCTTAACAAAGGTAACGGGACAGAAGCCGACTGTCTTCACTGGAGGCTGCAGCTGCAACACATCCACAGCGTGGAAAAGGGGCTGCTGCTATAGAGGAGGGACCACTAGGAAGTACCGCAGGGAGAAGCCTCTTTCAGCACACAAACCAAACTGGAGGGAGGACTGCTGACTCGTCCTGCGTTTTAGCGGGCGGCCAAGCCCCGAGGGGGCAGAGCAGACTTGGGGAGGGTCGGCCACCGCTTCACGTTTTTACTTTGGCAGCACCGAGAGATCAGGTCCTGACGCAAGAAACGCGTTGATCTCCTGGAAGCTGCTGGCCCAGGACAGAGCAAACTCAAGCCGCGGCGCCCTCGCCGAGGGGGCAGCGCTGCCCGAGCCCCTCCGGGGCACGTCGCGGCAC